AGTCTCCGGCCTCAGCCTCCCAAGTAGCTGGGACCACAGGTGCCCGCCACAATGCCTGGCTATATTTTGGATGCAGCCATCATTGTTGTCTGGTGGATCCAGGCTGGATTCGAACCCACCACCCTAGGTGTATGTGTCTGGCGTCTTAACCACTTGAGCCACAGGTGCCGAGCCATGCCTGGCTATTTTTTTGGTTGCATCTGTCATTGTTATTTGGCAGGCCCGGGCTGGATTCGAACCCACCACCTTAGGTGTATGTGGCTGGCGCCTTAGCCGCTCGAGCCATAAAATTTACTCTTAAAAGATTTTTATTTGGGTGGCACCTGTAGCTCAGTAGGTAGGGTACCAGCCACATACATGGAGGCTGGTGGGTTCGAACCCAGCCCAGGCCCGCTAAAAAAACAATGACAACTGCAACACACAAAAATAGCCTGGTGATGTGGTGGGTACCTGTGGTCCCAACTACTTGAGAGGGTGGGGCAGGAGATTTGCGTAAGCCCAGTAGTTTGAGGTTGCTGTGATGCCACGGCACTCTATCAAGGGTGACATAATGAAACTGTTTCAAAAGAAAAAAAAAAGATTTTTATTTTGTATTTAGAAGTATTTTTAATTTGGGGCAATATTTCATTGTTATTTGTTGTTCAGAAACATGACAACATTGGAAGAATAGAAAAGAAAAAATATCATTCTACTCCCCCCACTCCAAAAATAATTTCTTTCCAGGTTTTGTTCTTTGTAGATAGCTTTACAACTTAAATCTAGCTGTCATTTGTTACTAGTTGGCCCAAAGAATTATTTATTGTGATACCATGCTTTTTCCTTTTTCCTCTATGAGGCATAAAGAAGAAACAACCAGCCACCATGATGCAGGTGTTTTACCAAGAAGGACTGATGCCAGAATTGTCGTGCCAGAGCCGAAGGCCATGCAGTTCCCCCAGAGAGGACGGAGTAGTGACAAGGAAGACATCCAGTCCTCCCCGTTCAAAGACTGTCTTCTGGGGGTCCCAGAGGTGATGGGGCTCACTCTGTCCATCTGATCCGTAGAGGGTTATAACAACCTAAAATGTGAAAAGATAATACATAGGAAAATCTT